ACAAAATTGGGTCCCTAGAGGTCACAATGCACAATTTCAAATGGTATTGATGTCTTATGTTTGCTATGAGGGAAAGGAAGTCTATGAAGTTTTCCCAATGGACAAATGTAACAAGGCTTTGTATTAGAAGTTCAAATGCTATTCTTTACAATAGGATCTATAATCATATTCAGAATAGGAAAAGAAAGGTGGCCTAGGTCAATAACATTTTTAGTGTGTGAAACAGAAGTTGTAGCAGACTTTGTAACTGTGAAAAAGTGAGAAAGAATGGTCACTAGGGTAAAGGGAGAAACAGCCGTGTTGAGCAGGTGATATAGACCATTCTTCACTTCACCCTTCCCAATCGTTGTCCAAGATGAAAGGTCCTGAATAAGGCAAAAATCAGAAAAAAAAAAAAAAAACTAGACAACAGGTGAGATTGGCAGCTAACTTCTTGGCTGAAATTAAATTAAAACTAAAAGAAGGAACACACAAGACTTCGGTGAGGTGAAGTGAGGGTGTTAAGTGAACTGTGCCCGTATGTGTAACAGGTACATTTGTGCCATTTGGTAACTTAACAGAGTGAGAAACAGGAGAATTAATAGTAGTAAAAAAAAGTACAACAGACCATATGGTCAGTCGCACCGGTGTCAATTATCCAAGAAATTTCTTGTGGGAATGAATGATTGTGTGTGCATGTGGATAAACAATTTGCAATACCAGAAATGTGAGGAGCTGACTTAGGAGGGATGGTTGATTGAATTTTGGTTGGCAGAGGACTGAGCAATGGTGGAAGGTTGCCGTGGTTGAAGTAATGCCATTAATTGCTGATATTGTGCCTGAGTAAGACCTACTCGACCATCACTGGAGTTCTCAAGGTCAGAGTCAATAGGAGCAGTTTGAGCAGTAAAATCATTTGATCCCTGAGATTTATTGAAAAGTTTGTCTCGGGGGGGGGGGGGGGGGTAAGCCATGGAGTTTGTAACACTTCTCCATTGTATGACCAGACATGTTGCAATGAGAACAGATAGGGGCCTCAGCGTTACCAACCTTGAAACAAGTTTCAAAAGAGTGCCCTGTGATCTTGCAGTGAGAACAGTAGGCTCGATCTTTCTTTGATTTTTGTTGAGATGGATTATGGGTAGGAAATGGGTATGGTTTGCGAATGACAAAGGCCATGGAGTCAGATGGGTTTGAAGTGGGGGTCATTTGATAGTGGCGTTCCTGCTATTGAATGAGAGAAAAGACTTTTGTGATGGGTGGGAGGGGATCTAAGAGCATTATCTGGTCTCGAACAGGGGAATATGTGTCATTTAAACCCATCAAAAATTGAAAGAGATAGTCCCGTTGGTATCGGTCTGAGAGAGTTTTCATCGATCCACAAGAGCAAACTAAAATGGGGTCATAAATAAGTAACTCCTCCCAAAGAGATTTAAGCCTTTCGTAATATACACTTACAGTGTCAGAGTCTTGTTGAAGGCTGACAAGGGTCTTCTTGAGTTGGTAAATACAATGTCCATTTTGATGGGAGAAACGGTCCTGAAGATCGAGCAAAAGGTCACGGGCATTGTCTACGAAAGCAACGCAGGATCTGATGGAGGGGCTTATAGAGTTCTGAAGCCATGAAACCACCATATCATTGTAGCGTTCCCATAAGTCAAGAAGAGGATCATCAGGGTCTGTTGGTTGAGAAATGAAACCAGTGATGAAGCACATTTTATTTTTGGCACGGAGAGCTCGGCTCATCGCACAGGACCAAGTGGGATAGTTATCGCTGGTAAGCAAGTCGGTGACCAAAATGACGGCGGGGTTGTCGCCGTTGTCCAGTCGAAATGGGTTGCTAGGGTCAGTGAGCTTCAGGTATTTGGCCATGTTTGTGGCATGGAAGGTGATTGATATTTGGTCTGAATGAGCAGAGGAATTTTTGGGATTGTTGGAGGAAGAATTGTTGGAACTTTCGAAATCCTCCATGGGTGGCTCTAAGGCTCTTGATACCATGACAGAAATTGTAATGGTGAGAAGGAAAAAATGAACAGAGAGCAAAAGGATGAAGGAAAAAGTTCAATATATTCCTCAATGAAAATACTGTACATAATGCTATAGGTATTTATCTCTCTCCCGTGTAACAAATTAACCAACTCTGTACTGTCAATGGAAGCCAGCTAATAATAGAAAATGTATTTACAAATGAATAGAAATGTAGAGATTCAGCTGCCACATGTATTTGCTCAAAAAACACAGGTACGAAAAGATTCAATAACAAGCACTTAAATAGCCAAGTACTTGGATGCTTCAACTTCCCCGGGAACGTGCAACAGGATGGATATGCAATAAATGGTAAACAATCATGATGAACATGCAGTTGAGGGGTTGTATCGACCCACTTTCCTAGGCACCTGCTCTACTTCATGACAACTCGACTACGCGAATGGGAATTAACTATCATGATCACGTCTTTTTAGTAACTGTCGCAAGATAACTTAGACAAATAGGATTAACACTGGAAGGTAGCTCACGCGACTCCCTAGCCTAAAGAATCCTTCTATTCTTTACAATTGGTTAGGTCCTTAATCCTAAAAGAGCTACCCAACTATTCTCAAGTTTTTCAGCTCTACATTAAAGGTTAGAAGATTTAAGGCTACTTAGTCAAGAGGCAACCCAAGGCCAAGACAAAGCAGCCAAAATCTTACAAAATTTTCTACTTCGGCTTAATAGTTTCATTCTAGAATGCTAACGCCTTTCAGAAGTAAAAAAAGGGGGGAAAGAGGCACAGATTCATCATGAAGTGTACAACAAAGACCGTTCCAAATAGTTTATTCGAAAAAGTAAAAAAGGATAAGATGGTTGGTACTTTAATTAGTGGCAGGAAGTTCGGACACTACAATTTGCGGCTCCGAAGCACCCACTTGCCGCCTGGCTTCAGCTTCGATTATTGTTGTAGCATCCCAACTCGAGGTACCAAGACTTGTCACAAAAGAATAAAAGAAACCCAAACATTTAATATCTCCCATACTTCTTGGTTGCACTGCACTACACCAACCTGGTGTTACAATATTTCTGCATAATTATCCCCTTCAAACAAAAAGGAAATAAGTGGAAACACCCACAGGGTGTTGGCTCATCGCCATCCCATTCTTAATACATACTACAACTTTGTAGCAAACTCAAAATATTTACAAATAACATTTACGTTTTGAACAGAAGACGAAGACCCCTTAGCGAGAATCGACAACCCATAATAATCCTACAGACTAGTCACTGGACACCTTGCATCACGAATAACCCCTGAAAAATAATAAGAATTTCCAATAAGTGAATGAACGTAGTAAGTAAAAATGTACATACAAGACCCAAAGAAAAATTAAAGGAAGACTTCCCTATTTAAATCTTAACAATTGTTCCTCGTATTATAAGTTTCCATAGCAATAGCATCACATAAAATCCACCATGCCACACCGGTGCTACTCATGTCCGCCACACCAGGCCAAAATATGCTACACAGACTAAAATGTAATTTATGCTACACAAGCAATTTACACCCCACGGGCAAATATTTCACACAGGCAATTTATGCCACACAAGTAAATACTCCACATAGGCTCAACCAATTTCCAACCATTAATTAAGACAAAAATCAAGAAGTAATATATCAAAGTGTTAGGTTAAACACTTACCTTGACTACTGGAATCTATCTCATTTTCGATACCTCCGCCGGTCCTTTCAGCGTGATGTTCTTAGACATAAACGTTTCTGAACCTACCACATGTATAGTTATAATTATATTTAAGCTTTTCATGTGCAATCATAAAATTGATGTCCCCAATATCTTATTCGTATATGCCTATTCACACTCAGTTCTAACATAACCGATCTAACCTCTTTCCTAAACTTCTCTGTCTCTCTTTTTATAACCTTAGTATTAAAGTCTTTCCTACGTTGATTATATAAAGAGGCAAGACTATCTACTAAAAAGTAATTTCCCGACTGGAAATTAATTATATTGTGCTCTACGGATCCTTGATAATTATCTTAAAATTTCAATTAAAATAGCCTACTCAATCAATTACGATAATCAACTCCAAGCAATTAAAATAATTTATTCAAACTTACTTAAATATTCTATTCGTCTAGAGTATAATAATCTATTTAAACAGAGCAAATCAATTTATTCGATTCGATTTAATTTATGTACTCGTACCGAATACCATAATCCACTCGAACAAAATCTTTGCACAACATAATTTAAAGTTAATCCACCAATATTTCTTTTTCCCAAAATTTTAACGAAAGTTCTCAAGTTTACAATTTAACATCTCCAACACTATGCTGTAATTAAAATTATCCATACTTATTCTAGTTCACACTTTTGAAAATCATGGAGACAAGTATTCTTACATCTAATTAATTTTCATAAATATTATGAAAATGTAAAGAAAAACATGCTTGCATATAGATATGTATATCTAATTAATTTTCATATACAGTGATATATGAAAATCTAGATCCACACCATCTATTATAAGTTAGTGGAGAGCCCACTAACTTGCATGCAATCTCACGTGCAAGTTAGTGGTGCACCCACTAACTTGTATATTGTTATGTATATACTCCATATTTTATATGTATATATATTTAAAAAATGCACGTGGTTACTTTTATATATATCACTGTATATACATGAATATACATGTTTGAATACATCCCACTCACTCTTAATTTCTCAAATTAAACCCAATTTTTTTATCGAGGTCTATACACTATCTCCTCCATAATCCTGGTAGTTTACCTTTTTATTTTGTTGAATTAAATTAAATTCCAGCACGTAAATTAACATATATATCCCTAATATTAAAATGCCTATCTTGCATGCCAGGGTCTCACATCTATAGTTTTCCCTAGAAATGTGATGAGAAGCTGTAGTTCCTTCATTTTCTTCCTCTTCTTCCCCCTCGGACAAAGTGGGTTCAAAGGAATCAAAGCCGAGGTCGAGAAATTGATCATTTGAATACTTCATCTTGACCTAATCCCTCAGATCCTCATAACCTGCATAGCCCTCGGCAGCCTCCTTTTGCAGGACCTTGATGTGGTTGTCATTGATCTTCACCTTGGATTCAAGTCCAGAACACTTCTTGTCGGCCTCTTCCAGCTTTGGCCTCAGATAAGCAACTTCCTTCTTGGCATTAGCCTTTTCTAACTTAACCACATCAACAACCTCAACGATTTAGTCGAGCTCAAAGTTCTTCTGCTTCAACTTCTCTTTAAGAGATGGCTCTAATGACTTGAGTGAATCCACCAGAGAAGACAACTCCTCTATTTTTCTTACTGGTAGCCTCATGTTCGGCTTTGCCCTCACTTATCCGCTTCTCGTACAATTAAGCTTGGCCAATAAGAGCAATGGTATGGATGACAGACTACACAAGAAGAAAAAATGCATAAAGAGGGATCCACAAGGGCAACGATGTTGTTAGAAAAAGGGAAAGATCATACCACAACCAGACTAGAGGTCTTCTTCGAAATGCTAAGCCTCCCTACCTCAAGGATGTCAGCCTTGGGAAGGATGCCTAACAACCAAGTGGCGACCAAGGGGGCAATGGAGAAAAAAGAATGATCCTCGATAAGAACAGATGAAGAGGAAAAACCAGAAGACTTAGGAGGCATAGGAACCGAAGAACCATCCCCTAAACTTCCTTCAGGAAAACTATAAGGACCAACTCTAACTATCAAGATATTGTCCCCTTTGTATGCCCATAAACTCTCATGGTGTTGTTCCTCTGGGGCTTTGTTAAATGACAAAAAAAAAATAAATTCAAAGATCAATGATGGGGTTATGCTCGACTCGTGGTTTCTTTGAATTATTAATTGTTAACTTCAAGCTCAATTGTCAAATTTCACATTTCAATTTGACCCATTAAAATTCATCTTTATGAAATTTGAAATTGTATGTTGTAAAAAAAAAACGGAGAACTGAGAATTAAGGACGATTTTCCTATAAGAAAAGGCAAAGTGAGTGGTGACAAAAAATAAAGGGTTTGATGATGAGTATTTGATGGTTGGGTAGTCCCCATAATCCCCAATACGACTTGGTGGAGTGCTTAAAAGATTGCCAGCTGCCCCCCTTCACATGCAAAAACTCCTTATAAATACACTTGGAGAGGACATACAGAGGGGAGAGAGTTTAGACAGCTTACAAAGCAAGAAAAAAAAAAAGAGAGAAGGAAGGAGAAGGAAGTTTGAATAACAAAGTGGTTGCGGAAGACAAAACAATCTAAGCTATCCCACTGGTATAATCTCTGATTTCTTTACCTACTCTTGGATTTAATTTGTTAAATCTTTGAATGCAGCGAATGGGTTCAAAACCACAGCAAACTGAAGCAATTGCGGCAACATCCAACCCTTCAAAAAATTACCAATTATAGGGATTTTCGACCCCTAGAGTTCAGATGACGAAAAGGTTGTTCTATACTCTTCTCGGCAAAAACTGCACTCTCTTTGGATCAAGAAAAATTTCTTGGAAGCTTTCCGATTTCTTTCAGCCAAGTCCACATGTGTGAACAAACCCACACATACAAAAGAAATGAAGCCAGGTTATGCAAATTCAGTCTTCATCCAGTTCATTTGTGGCAATGTTTCAACTCTTCTTGTCGAAGATTTTCTGTTGAATCAAGGAATATAGAAAAGGGGTAGAAAAAAAAGAAAGAAATAACTCCTCTTCTTCACAGTCCATTTTCTTGTGTAAGAGAATAGAGGAGTTTCTTTTAACTCTTCCCATAATTAGCCTCAACAGGCATAAATTTCATGAGCCAACCTGTCCATTCTGAAGTCATCCGCATAAATTTAAAGAGCCTCTGGCTCTTTAAAGATTTTGCTGAGTCAAAGGAGTTTCCAACACCATCTTGCTTGGAGGTGAAGAAAATAAAGCCTTTGACTCTATACCGAAACACAACGATTCCAAACCCATTGTCCACAATCTGAACCTCTCCCAAATAACAAGCCAAGGAGTTTCCAACTCCTAAAGCTCCAAGCGGAGCAAAAGTCTGAGAGTTTAAACTCGTCTTGCAACCTGCAAGATCCTCGGGCGGTCACAAGTTAAGATTCTTTGAGTCTAATGGAGTTTCGAACTCATTCCATTTGTTTTGTCACTAATCTCTTCTATTGCAACAAGCATTGGCGGACAAGAAAGAAAACCAAGCACGCTGGCCAAATCAAACAAAGAGTTCGGACTCTTATAATTTCAAAACTTTATGCTGAGGACCAGTATTCTTTTCGGATGGAGTTTCAAACTTCCTTTTTTTTAAGTCACTCTCAAGAGTTTAATCTCTTTTGTTGGTCTTGGTTTTTGTAAAACCTATGTGATAGAGTTTCTGGAGTTTCTAACTCCTAAAAAAATATGGAATCTTTTGACTCCTCAAAAAAATTTCATAGAGTCTTCGACTTCCCTTTACAAAAGGTCATGTTGTGATTTAAGGAGTTTTCAACTCTTAAAGATCGCAACGGTGCAAAAATCTCTAGATTTCTAAGGTTTTGGCAGCACCGAAGGAGCCTAGAGTTCTTCACAAACCAATCAAACTGCTAAATGAATAGTATTTCGAACTCTCTCCAAAGTCGCTTATTGTTTTCTTAGCAAAATAAGAGTCTTTGACTCTAATTCAAACTTTCTTATACATAAAAAAAAAATGGCATCCAAAAAGCCTTGACTGAACCCAATTCAACTTGGCTAGAGTTTCAAACTCTTTCTAAGAATCTGTTATTGGGTCTATCTAAATAAAATGTACCAAAATCAAAGCATAAAATTTTGGAACTTTAAATTCCTTAGTGCTTTAAAAAAAAAGTCTAAACTTTAAATGGTTTTTAGAATTGGTAAAATTCACTCACTTGGCAACCTACTTGCAACCAAGTTTCTCAAATCACCCATGAAACACGTGAAGGACTCTTCGACCCTTTTCGACAAAGAATAGAGTTTTAACTTTAATAAAGCCTTTGATTTCTCTTGGCAAAACCTATTGGAATAGCCTATAAAAAGATTGTTGGTGGACAAGAAAATTTAACTTAGAGAGTTTATAACTCAGTTAAATTGATATGCAGTCAGTGATTGTTTTTTATCTAACAATTTGATCATTTACCCTTTACTATTTATTTTTTGGAGTTTCAAATTCCTATAAGTTAATAGTGTAGAAATTAAATTAAAGAGTTTAACTCTTTACTAATTTTTGGGATTTAAAACTCCTCAACGATCTTTATGAAAAGAGTCTTGAACTCTTAATTTTTTTTTTTTTGAGTTTCTAACTCACAAAAGTCACTAATTTTTACATGGAATCTAATTCCATGTTAAGTCACAATCTATGTGAATCCTAAAATTCACATAAGTCTAAGTTGTTTTAAATACAACTCAAGTCCATCCCAAAGAACAATGGGTCTTTTACCCATTTCAAACCAAATCAAGCTAAATTTTACATTAAATGAGTCATTTACTCATTCAAAGCCCCACTCAAATTCAAAATCATGCAAGAATTACCACTGACTTGATTTCCTTTCAGATATTTAGGCAGTTTAGTTAAACTAGACACAGTCGCAAGTCCAAATCAACTTCAAATAAATTTCAAATTCTTTTCATGAACTATGTCTAACTTGATTCCTTTTCGGATACGTAGGGAACCTAGTTAAACTAGGCGCAATCACAAATCCCAAAAAAATTTCTTGTAAACCAAATGGGTCTTAAACCCATATTAAATCAAAGGGTCATTTACGCATTTCAAACATGATGGATATTTATCCATTCAAAATCAAAGAATCATTTAACCGTTGATCTTACCCAAATAATAATAATAATAATAATTTAATCTCCCTGAACTATGAATCGGCATGACCTGATAATGGGTATGTGCAACAGCCTAGACAATTAACCTAGATCCAGCCACCATTACAAGTGTAATGCCCTTGTGGTGTAAATGGTAACATATGATAATTTCTCGTTGGAATCAAAGGGTGTTCCCTTGAAGGAAGAGATTATAATTAACGAATATATGCTATCTGGAATGGGTCTAACCTACATTTAATAAAACTCATATAATTCCTCGTCATATGAGTGAAGCCATGTTTGGCAAAATATTCAAATTTTTGCCCAACAGGCTTCGCTCCCAAAAAGACCTATTACCAATTAAGGGTGAGCACACCACATAAATAACTCAATCACTCCCCTTCCGAGTCGATGTACAATGTAACACATGAAGTTGTAGCACCTTCTCACATTGCAAGGCTTGTTGGCAGTATACTACACTCCACCCCCTTAGAGGCTACGTGTCCTCATGAGGCCCACATGGGGTTCACCTCCCCACCAGCTATGGGAGAGTCAGTCTTGATGCCACCTATAACGATGTTGAGTTGTAACATTGCATATTTGATACGTAATTCATCCATTTTATGTTATTGTTCGGTGTTTAAGTGTTTGAATAATGATAAGATTTCATTAATTGTTTATATTTATGTTTGTAGGTGCAAAGAAGATGAAGATGAGCAAGCTGGAATCAAGCAAGAAGGACATGAAAAGCATTGGAAAGAAGATGATTGGAATCCAGAAAAAAAAAAAAAGAAATCAAGAAATGGACTACTAGAACTGGTTCTACAAGGTCCAAAGAGCTTGGAACGGGTTCTACAGTGTTGGTACCAGTACTACAACCACCAGTAAGCATGGAACTAGTTCTTCATGTTTGGAACAACTTCTTCACACACTAAGTCGATTCACGAAGTCCCGGGTCATCATTCATTGGGTTGTGAAGCTACTTCTATCCACTTGCACAACTTGAGGGGCGGCTCCTACTTCCTAGGCAAGGCTTTTGATTGGATGAATGCACCTCCCAACAACCCATGAGCACTCCTATTGGTCAGCACTGGTAGAGGAAACTTCTTCGGGAAAGCTTCCACCACTCATGCCACACACCTTAGCCAATGAGGAGAAAAATTGAAGGTTCGAAGTGGAGACCCCATTAATTTGGAGATGCTCCTGTTTTTCGCGTTTTCATTTTGCTTCAAAAAAAATTGAGAACAACATTTTTTTATTCTCTAAAATCACATGCCAATTCCCAAAATTTTCAAAACATTGTAGAACAAAAAAGCTAAACAAATTACATCTTCCTTGTTTTTAGAATTTTGAGAACAAAAAACTATTTTGTAGATACAAACCAAACAACCCCTTAGCTTTTGAGTTTCCTTAAGTTTAACATTGTAAGAGTTTTGTCGGGTTATGAAGAAGACAACCAGAGGGATTTCCATTTCATTTTCAAAGCTTTAATTGAATGGTTTGTTCTTGTATTTGACTATATTGTTTTGAAGCTATTCTAGTGGAGATTATTTCTTTCAATCTTGTTGCTCATTTTCATTAGTTTTACATTTTGTTTATCACCGATTTTTACATGATGTGTTTTATGTCCAGCAAAGTTTCGACATGATCCGAGGGTTGATTCTCATCTATAATCAAGCATAGCTATATGAGTCCATCATTTCAGTCATGTCCCAGTCATGTCCCAAATCAAATCAAACCAAACCAAGGCTTATGTCCCAATTATTTGGAGTCAGTTATATGAGTAAATCTTCACCATTCATTTCAGTCATGTGTTATACACTCATTTAAGTTAAGTACGACTCTCCATGTTGTCAATATACTC